AAAGTAACATCCAAGCTAGAACTCTTGAATTGAATTGTGGTGGCTTATTCACTTACAATCTCATAAAAGGTGTTGTTGAATTCGAGGTTGTCACGCCACAGAAATTATTGGTTCTAGGATCATGAAGATGGTCATAGGAGCTAAATACAGTCAATGCCAAACTTTTCCCTCAACGTGTCACTCCCTCCTCCCCTTTAGAGTTGTAAGCTCAGTTGAAGACACGTATATAAGGTTCAAGGAGTACCTCAACTATCTGCGTGCTGAGCTCTCCGACGAAGTACAGTTTCTTAATGAAGTTGATGGAGAAGCCCTTCATTATGGAATGGAAGATGACAATCTGCCCGAGTCTGGAGGTCTAGAACGTGTAAGCAAGACACTTTGCTCTTAACTTCCATCGCTTTCCCAGCATAAGTTTCTCTCACTGTGGTAAGACTACACACTCAGCGAATGTCGCCCTTCCAGAGCCATTGAAATTAGTTTATTCGCTTTGCAAGTGATCTCTGTTGTGCTCATCTCGATAAAATTTGCCCTTGTTTGGTTGACTGTGCGATTTATTTGGGTTTTCACAATGGATGCGCCACTTATGCTGCTCACACAATACCACAAGCCGCAAAAAGACCACTCTAAGACATTTGCGATAGGCTGCTCATATTATTTTCTTGACCATTTAAATTTGAACCAACTTAGGTTTTCGTACTTTCAGAAACGAATTGCTAGAACCCCTCAGACCTCAACTAGAGGGCACGTAAGTTTATCAGTCGCTCCTATGAGATTGCACCTGTCCATTACAGAACTCAACACACAGATCACATTTTAGGGAGGCTTACTTAAGGTACGTGGACATAAGGCAGGCTAATAAATTCGTCTCCCAATTCAGCTACACCATCAGATTTGGACCAATGAGCAAAGTGTCGTAAGTCCAACAACTTTAAAACATAATTTACCCACTATCCATTTTAAGTAACTTCCTATGCATTAATTTGTTGCCTAGGCGGACCGTACTCTCCGAGAAACCTTTGCCGTATGTGTCTTAAGCAGGATTAGCACTTGAATGCTATTAAATGGGGAAACACTGCATGACTTTTTTCCACTTCTAGGCCCTTGTACCCATCACCCGCTCCGTAAGTCAATCACAACAGCTTGCATTTTCTCGACCTATCGTCAAATGAAAGCACTGCAAACAAAGTTAAACCCCTATTCCGCGTTTTGCCTAAATGGACGCATAACTTATGGCCAAACACGTACTTGTTAAAATTTTCCGAAGCGTTTTTAAATCTCGAGGAACGAAGTAGTAGCCCTGCAAAGTGTTAACGCAACCCACAGATGAAGCTAAATGGCAACCTTACGAGAACAACGAAAATGAGCCACATGTGCAATGAGTTTAGTGGAAGTGCCATTGAATACTGTCAGATCCTCATTTGTTTTTGCAGTGTCAGCGTGAATTACTTGGAGGTTGCCTGAAGTTCATGCCATTAACAGTCAAACTTTCTCCTTCTCCTCTTTTACTAAAAAATCTGCAGCTCACTTGTCATTTGTTAAGGAGTGATTCTAAAAAATCGGAGTCAGGAAAAAATTAGTTTGCTTTTTAAAGAGTGCTTAGGAAGTAAGGGGGACTTTTGGCCTGGAGAGTGACTTTTAATGTGGCTCTGATACCAATATGTTGTGATTAACTTTCCTTTCTCTTTTAGTCTGACGAGTCATCAGTCAAATCGGTCAGTTTAATGAGAAGAGATTTCGCAATGTTTGCTTGATATTTGTCTTGCGACCCGCTTTTGTCTTTAGAAGAAACCTGCTCATGTTGTGCCAAGCTTGCAGAAGATGCTCAGTAGGAAAGAAATAATGGTGCGTCAGAACGCTAAGCGAATTTCACCATTTTTACATGCTCAACTTTATCAATAAGGCCATGACTTTGGACTCTGATGCTTTTGAATCAGCAGAATACTTTTATTCCTTCCATGTGAAGGAGGTGAGAAAGTGGGATATGATTGGTTTGGAAAAAGCACGATAGGTGAGCAAAATCGGTAGTAAATTGCACACTGGCCTTGCTTCAAGCACTGAGCGGTTTCGATCCCACATTTGAGATTCAACTACCCATCACTCATGCCCTTATTGCAAACATTTCGTCTGTAGAAGCTTTTGGAAAGAAAATCGGCAATACTAACGATGTTAGCAGAGTACCAAAAAGGAGAAGAACTCGAGACTAAAGTACTTTACCAAAATGAGACCAAAATATATTTCTAATTTAGCTTTTAAAACGCGCTGCGAAACAGTGATAGGTTATGTGTTAACTAGCCTTAGAATGGGCGTTTTTTTTTTCGTGTCAAGGAGTTGTGTTAATCTAAATTTACCGAATATGCTCACCAACCAACATATCGCGCTTACTTAAGAACTAATCTAAGTGTATTTTATTCTCCAGATTTTGCCCTCTACACAACCCGAACAGACTGCGGCCCCTTCAGCGAAATCGGTTTGTCCGTATTAAGTGATCTCTCTTTCCTTCCTTCCTGTGCTGCAACACAGTGGAAAAATGTCAAAATTTTTCCTCCGTTACTTTGAAAACGTAGGGGAAGCCTTCTTCAGGCGAAAATAAGAGGGATCTCTCAGTGCAGGGCAAAGGCTACATTGTGGAAACGCTTCCTGAACTCAGTGCCCCCAATGTATTAAAAAAGTCTGTAACCCTAGACCTACCCTCCTCTCCCGCCCCATCAACTCAGAAGGCAGACGATGGAATGGACGACACGAACGTAGGCCTACTTTAAAGCGCATTTTAATACCTTTTTGTGTATTCCTGAGTTAAACACGTCTAGAGTTAAGAGTGTACTATTTTGTACTATTCAAACCATTAGTGAGTGTGTTGAGAGGCAAAAGGAAGAGATCAGTAGCTAAATTACTACACATCTTTTGATTTATGGTTGAAATGTATTGTTAGTATGGCATAGAAATCAAAAAAACTTAATGATTTAATAAATGAGAGAAGCAATCTGCTTCCGTGTTGACAAACTTTCTAATGCAAAAGGTAGAAAAACACGCGGATGCAATATTTAAAGGCGCATTCCTCCCCAGAAGAAAATCAGTTCATTACGTTCTCTATGAGGCAAAAAAGGATGAATTAGCAAAATACCTACAAACAAGGCATGACTATAACAAGGAATCTTCAGAGAAAATTGCCAACCATCTATTCAAAGCAGGAGTTAGGGGCGTATCACACAACCGTCTCTCTCATTTGCTCACAAAGCTCATCCAAGAAAAGACTGCGGGTAAGGGAACTGTGAGTTCAGACGAAATCAGTGATAATATACATCGGAATTTAAGGCAGAGAATGGACGAGCTTATAGACTGGGTGGAACTGCTTGATTCTGTGCCTGACATCAGTGCTGGATCGGAGGTGACCACCAGTCCATCCTCTGAAATGTCACCCAAGTCTCATACGACCATATGGTCAACATCTACCAGTGCTGAGGGCAGAACGAAAACAACACTGCCACTAATACGGCCAGATGTCAAGCCATCAGTGGAATCAATCAAATCGAAGGCATCTACACGATTATTGAAGAAAGCGAAGGAGGCGTCATGTACACCAACTTCGTTAAGTAGTTCGAGTCTAAGGAGTGGAAGTGGTGGAAGAACCTCACCTCTATTGGATGTAGTTGCCAAGACGGATTCATTAGAAAGTATTTTGTGTGAACCGCCATTGAATGCTATTCCTGGTCAACGCTTAGATGAGATTTCCCAATCCAAAGCTACAACCAGTCCGTACGGTACATGGGCCTATACTGTATCTGCAGAGACCCCTAGCAGTGAGTTTACGGATCGCATTCTTAGTGATGAGAATGCCGAGCTTGAGCCCAGACGCCCCGTAAAGAAGTGTTTGCGAGACAGTGTTGTCACTGTAAGCCCCTTTGAGGTAGCGGAACACATCGCGAACGTTCTAGAGGCTATCATGGATAC